CGGTCCATACCAAAAACCAATCAATACGGAAAGGAAAAAAAAAAAAAAAAGGAACCCACATATTATCATCGTCATCGTAAACCCAGGGACTTCTGGTTTGTTTTTTTTTGCTTTTGAGTTCCTTCCTCCCTCCACAAGGGACCATAGTTTATTATACCGTTTAGACGAAGCAGGAGAAAATAGGAATGAAAAAACCACATATCCCCAACCAGACTTAGGAGGAGGGCAAAACGGGAGGATTAGAGGCGCGGGGGTGGAAACCGGGTATCATCGTTCATCATCGTGTGTCGTTTCATTGCGCCTAATCTAGTCCGATCCAATCCGAGTATCATTTTTATCTTTTACTTCCGGCCAGCCCCGGCAGTCGTAGCCGCAGTCGCAGTAGGAGCAGCAGAAGCAGCATTGGTACCCGCCGTCCGTGACCTCGAAGAAACCCCCTCCGGGCCAGGCAGCTGCGGGTCGTCGGGGAGCTCCTCGATACGATCGCGGCCGTCGATGGGTGACTCGCCGTCGCCGCGCTCGGCGGCCTCGCGTTCGAGGCGCTCCTCCCGCCCGCGCTTGTAGCAGTACCACAGGGCGGAGAGGAGCAGGAAGACGGCGACGCTCCAGAGCACGTTGGTGCCCATGAAGGCGGGCCAGCGGGTCTTAAGCGCGTTGACGATGCCCTTGAGCAGGCCGGCGATGGCCCCGGGCTTGGTCACGAGCTCCTGGAGGTTCTTGGGCGTCAGGAAGCGCTTCGCGGCGCCCTTGACGCCGCCGTCCCTGGCGTCGGCGCCGGACAGGCCCTGGGCCTCGGCCGCGACGGCGAGGAGCTCGGGCGCGAGCGACGACGTCATCTTCTCGGGCAGCTGCGCGACGAGCTTCTTGAGCGACTTGGGCAGCTTCTCGTAGGTGCGCGCGAGCACGCCGTCGCGGTCGTCGAGCAGGCTGACCAGGTCGCCGTACGCCGTCGGCACGCCGTTGGCGAGGTCGCGCAGCACCTGCGTGAAGCGCCGCGCCATGTCGGCCGACTCCTTCGACAGCGAGAAGGCCCGGTTGTTGCGCGCCGACAGGTCCAGGTCGTCGAGCACCCGCGCCATGTCCGTCTCCTCCCGGCTTACTTCCTCCTCTGCCGCCGGCGCGGGGACCGCGAGCGACGACGATGCTGCCGCGGCGGGCTTGCGCCTCAGCGAGATGCTGCGCGGGATGTTCGCTACGAAGGAGAAGCGCTTAGGTGGTTTCCCGTCGAGGCTCTTTCGCTTGTCTTTGCCCTTATCGTCCACCTTCACCTTGTCCTTGTCCTTGTCCTTGCCGTGGGGCTCGCCTCTCCCGTCACTAGCAGTGCTGGAGCTGTCGCTGCCCAAGTCGATGATGGGGGTCTTGATGCGAGGAGGCAAGGGAGGTGGCGTCTCGGCGTCATTACCCTCATGGCTGGGCAAGTTCGCACCTTCGGAGGTGAGGCTCTCAAGGAACTTCTCGTCTTCGCGGTCGAGGATGGGCGCGCCTTCGCTGAAGGCTTCAGGGCGCTTTGGTAGCGGCGGTGATGTCCCCTCGGACTTGGCTGTGGCGGCGGCCTTCTCCTTGTCTAGCCGCTCCGTCTCGGCCTTCTGCTCCCGGTGCTTCTTCACCTTTTTGTACGTGAAGTACTCGAGCATCTTTGCGAAGGGGCGGGGGTGCAAGTGGTCGAGGTTACAGGGAGTGAGTGTACCTGACCTATATTCTCTGCGAATGAGGTACGGGGTGGGGACGAGTAGGTAATGGGGAAAAGGTGGTTGTTGTAGGTGTGAGGGAGTTTAGTTCGGTTGTCTTTGTCTCCCCCTTTTTAAATACCTGCAAGCTTGTTTTATGTCGAGAGCTCCAAATGCAGATGACTGGTAGGAGGCCTTCCCATTACATGCAGGTGAGAGGTGTGCTTGCCGTTTCCACATTTAAGGGACCTCCGTTGGTTGGGACAATGATACGTCACTATTGCACAGCCGCACAGCCACATATGCTTGCTTGCAATTCCTGTGGCAAAAGCCGATCTAGCCTATGGAATCTTTAGGTAATCTCTGCCCAGGTGTAGATCGAACTAGGTTTACATGCCCCATAACCCCACTAGTGCCTGAGCACGGACCAAATCTACGATTTGGTTTGGGTCTACCTTTATCTTACACTATACCTACCCACCACCTTTTTTAGGTACCTAATACCAGACTCCGCCAAGCCTTGGCAACTAAGGTATACAAGGGTTAACCCCACGAATTACAAAGATTTTATAGATTATACAAGGTGTCACGGTGCTGACCACTGCGGCTATATATGGATATCAACTTAGATTTTAAGGTGCCGGACCTTGAAATTCTAATACTTAGCAAAGTCGAGTATTACCCAAAAAAAGGCGGTAGTATTCCCAGACTTACCCCTACGTGTAGGAGCCCTTATATTCACCAGGTATTAAGCAATCCATATTACTTATTGTACAATTGCATTATCGCGTTTCCCCTATGGTCCCTTTGCATCTAAGAGACATGCAGTGTCAAAGTAGGTCCCTCTTTTTTTCCCCTAAGGTGAACAAGCCAAGCCATGATTATATACCGTAGGCACGTCTCAAGTGCATTTATCATAGGTAGGTCGAGGGTATCTCTTAACTTTTCTTCCCGAGAAATCCTGGGAAGCAGTATTATCATCCCACAGGTAAGACTTTCTCTCGCATCAAGTTCATTCCGTATCCCCGTCCCCGTCTCCGTCGGCTTGGTCTTCGTCGTCTTGGTCTCCGTCTTCTTTTTCTTTTTCTTCTTCCTCCTCCTCTTCTTCCTGCATGATCTCCTCGACCAGGTTGCTGCTCCGGCCCTTGCCGCTCCGCCGCCTGCCCCGCTGGAAGGCCTCGGTCTCCGTGACGGCCCTCTCGCCCACGAAGTGCCGGCCCGTCCAGTCGCGGTCGCACTTGGGGCACCGGCGCTGCCGCCGCGTCCGCCAGTACGCGTCCTCGCATATGTCGTGGAGCCGGGCGTGGCAGTCGCGCTCCGAGCAGCGCTGCCCGACCGTGACGATCTCCCTACAGGCCTCGCAGAACTTGACGCGCTGCCACTCGCCCTCCTCCGCGTCCGGGTCGTTGTACGACTCGACGAGCCACGACCGCAGCTCCATCAGCGCCCGCGGGCTGAGGCTGTACAGGCCCTCGCGGCTCCGCTCGAACCAGCCCTCGTCCACCATGCTCCGCATCACCGCCTCCGCCTCGCTCGGCTTGAGGCCCCTGAGCGCCTGGGTCTGCGGCTGCGCCGGGTCCTCCCCGTCTCGCATCTCCTCGTCCTCGTCGTCGGCCCGCCTCGGCGCGGTGCGGAGCTTGTTCGCCTGCATCTCGTCGAGGCACATGACCTCCATGCGGGGGCTGTTGTACTTCTCGAACATGGCGTCGATGACGCGCTTGATGAAGGCGATCTCCTCGGCGGTGTGCAGCGTGGCCAGCTGGGTCATGGGGTCCGAGGTCGTGTTCACGACGGCGTAAACCCACTCCTTCTTCACCTGGTGCCGCGTGCTCCGTACTTCGAGGTCGAAGGCCGAGACCGCGGCAGATGCGGCGGAGATGTACGAGTCGAAGTCCTCCTTGGTGACCTGGTTGGGCTCGGTGCGCTGCCCCTCTTGCGCCGTGAATATGGCGGCTAGGACGGGTTGTGATTCCTTGAACGTCATTGTGCCCCGCGCCAGGAGGGCCTGCAGGAACGCACGATTCCCATCATTGTAGCGAGCGGGAAGCTCGTCCCGGTCGTCCATGGCGGTGTTCTATGCACTTTTGAGGTCTGTCGGTCGTGATTTCATCTATCACAGAGGTATTATCCTGACTTCTCTTGTGATTATGAATTTTGCCTTGAACTTGATAGGCTAGGTAGGTGTTTTAACCTTGGGAATCCGTGGCAGACGCGTTTTTGGTCGCGTACCGCGTAAATGGGATTTTAGTGTGGCGCAGCAGCACAACCTCGATCGAATGGTGTGGCTTGGACGCGTTAAATGCTACCTATAGAACTCCTCCTATTTCAGCGTCTTTACATCCATTTTGTCTGCCACTTAGGTACCACTACCTACCTTAACATTTACCTCTAATATATGGTCCTAACTAAAAACAATATTCTAAACTTTCAGCTCCATCTCTTACAAACCCTTCTATTAGACTTTAGTTACGTTTAATAAATTCGACTACTAAGTCCCAAGGACCTCTTTACTTAGTAATTACCCTCTTAATAACATGTTTTTAGAGTCTCTTTCCCTTACACGCCTACTTAGGTACACCCATGTCTACCTCGTAGATAGAGTCGTATATAAACAATTTAGGGGGGTTAGCAATGTCCAGATAATCTGCGGTTGTGTAATCCTTCACCAGGAAAATCATCACCCCATGATGGACAAGCTCGTCCGTCTACAACAGGATAATTTCGTTAGGTACTCCTTATCCGAGTGGTGTTTATGACTGCCCACTCCCCTCATTACCCGGGTGATAGCAATTCTTGCACCACATACCCTTAGGTAGGTAGTAGTAAATTGCAGAACGGGCTCCCCCAATTAATCTATCAAGTCCTATCAATCATCAATTCGATGTCCCCCCACCTACTTGTTACCTACTACGATCTTTGAGCCGCCATGTTACGTACATACGCAAGAAAGTAAATTACAACGCCAAAGTAAAGGGAAATAGCATAAGCCCATTTTCTTATTTCAATTTTTCTCTTTTTTGCACCCTCATATATACCTACCTTAAAACACAAGGCTCTCTCGTCTTTCCTATCCACTAATACGCACACTTTCTTCTTTCAGCTGACTAACCAACCAACCAGCCTTATATCGGTAAATCCCAACACGCTAAACCTAAACCAAGCCCTCAGATTTCATTCGACTTATTCATCCATCCATCCGCCGCAACTTTCCGTCCTCCTCGCACCCCACCAATTGGCCTTACGTAAATCCTCCCTCCCCGCTGTCATCCCAAGGGGGTGGTCTAGTCTAACTATATAAGCTACCATAAGCCACAAAAATGGTCGTCGTAACTCGCGCAGTTGGCGCAATGGATAGCGCACAGTCCTCCTACCGCCACTGAGATTATGTCTCTGGGTTACTAGCGAAAGACTGGGGTTGCGGGTTCGAGTCCCGTGCTGCGTGCATTTTTACTTTTATTATATTATTTTCCCTCAATTATCACATTTTTACATTAAATAACAAATTTTATAACCATAGGTTTATAAATGTTATAATAGATATAAAATTATTAATTTCTTTATCAATCACGATAGTTAATATTAATAATATTCGACTCTTTTTTTTTTTTTCTCTTTTAAACGCCAGATTTGCTAGATTAATTCTATACAAGGGTTATAGGTATCTACAGCTTGGACCATGCAAGACACGGAAAACAGAAAGAAAACACAGATTTAAAATGAGAGGATGCATGGCTTCGATCAACACCACGACCGAAACGTGTTTTAATACATAGGCTAAGGATTACAGAAAAGAACTAGGGGAGGTACTTCGGCGTAGTGCAAGTTATGCTCGTGCAAGATAGGCAAGCTAGTAAGGTATGTATCGTAGGTATTCATAGGTCGTTGGTCTGTAGAGGTGGTGGGTGTGCTTAGGTGTGTGTGGTGTGGTGTGTGTGTCCCGTAGTTTATTGTTTTGTTTCCCTTCCTTTTCGAGCCTCAATCCCTTGCTTCCCAGGTTGCTATGTTTCGGCATCAGGTACCTTTGTCGATGGCTTGCCCTGTGCACTAGACTTCGGGTCTATCTTACGGTTCATGACCGATCTGAGAACCTGGAGCTTCTCCTCCGTAACTTTAATTGCTTCTTCGACCTCTCGTTCGTTCATCCGCTCTTCGCGCAGTTTATCTTCCACAGTTCGTGGCTCCACCACCCGTTTGCGGATAGGCACGGCGCCGTCATTCATGCGATGCAGGCCAACTCTTTCTTCTAGCCAGTCCCATAGGTCGGTTTCTTCACGTCTCCATATCTCCTCGTATGCAATGGCACGGTCTGGGTAACCTGCGAAACCTATGTCTCGTCCATAACCTGCGCCTCGAGGCTGCCCGTAAGAGCCAAAATTGAACCACGTCGCGACCAGCAATCCGACGAGAAGTCCATACACAACATTACCGGTGAGAACGGGTGTGATGATATCGACAATCGGGCCGAGAATACCGCGTAGCGGTTCGAGGGGACCCCAATCTTGGGTCTTGGAGGTGGCCGAGGCAGTTGGGCTACTTAGACTCTCCTTGGATGCTTTGTGCAGTTTGCCCTTGCCCTTGCCCTTCTTCTTGCCCCTTCCGCCGTTGAGAGTGGAAGAGCGTGGCCGAGAGGACACTGCTGCTTTCAGACTTGCAAATAGATCTTTGCAATACTGTGTCTGGCCGTCCTTGACGCCTTTCTCGATAGGTCCTACAGAAATAGTGTTAGAGCAATCATCGAGGAGCATTGCCGATAAAACTCACCCTTTATCCAACTCTTGCCAGTCCATTCAGTAGTGCAATTGACCGTTACATGGGTAGCGTTGTTTTCGGCCCACGACAGACAGTACTTAGTCTTCACACTGAATACATTCCCACTTGGCACGTCCGGGTTCTGCACAGATACCAGGACATTGACGCACTTCTCCAAGTCCATGTTCTCGATGGTCTCATTCACAATACACTTTGTCTGCTTCGGCCCTATCGAAGCATTTAGAGGTTTGATGTATGTATAGCCCCGAGTCTTGTTCTCTTGTGTCAGCCCTTTCTTGTCCTCCATCTGTAGGTCAAGACATTTCTGCTCGTTGGTCAGCCATTTCCCCATCCATGTCGCAGAGGCAGGCCCAAAGATTAAATTGTAGACTTTGCCCAGAGGGGCGGCGACAATATCATCTCCAACCACTATATCGTAGTGGGTATCTGCATCACCGCAATCTGTTGGAGCGTGTGTTGCCGGGCCAGGGAAGTCGGCCGCACCCCCGGACGCAGGCGCGCCATCCGCTTTTTCGGCAACGCCATTAGCATTAACCGCTCCGGATGCCTTCCTTATCACGGCTTTCTCGCCATCAGTTTCTGCAGGGCTTGAATCCGTGAGGTGCGCTACGTCAGCCATGTCGCCGTCCTCCTGGTCTTCGTCGTATATGTCGTCCCCATCTTCGCTGTCTTCAGTTTCAGAGCCCGAGATGCTCTGGCTTGCGGTGACAACTTCACCGTCTTCAACTTTCTCAGTTTTGTCGCCTCCAGTCTCGTCTAGCGATACGCCATTGAGAGAGCTCCGGAGAGAAGGGTGCCCGAGCTTCCAAATATTCACGATTAGGTCATATGTAGAGTCCCGGCTCGTGAAACTAGCAAATACATGCTTCGCATGGAGAGTTGTGATCATGAGCCCATTTTTAAAGACTAGCGCCGTGCTTCGCTTTTCGACAGATACGATCTCGTCAAAACTCATGACCAGCGTTGTCACCCACCCGAAAATGTTGCTGCTGAAACATAGATGACCTTCGGAGACATAGAGTCTACCGTGTGCTAGAATCTCTCTCTGGAGGGCGCAGCTGTAGTCTTCGATAAGATAGTCGTCGTCGGGTACGCTCTTGAACAAGGCATGGAAATCCCGATTGCGTTTCTTACTCGCCACAGCAAACCCTGTGAGTTTCGGCGTACTCCCGGTAGCGTTCGGATGAGCTACAGAAGCATTAGCCGAGACAATCGCAGCACCGATAGTATTTCCAGTGCCTCCCGTTCCGCCGGTGCTACCGCGTTTGCGCCTTCGCGAGATAGCACTTCTTATGCTGCTACTACGCTGGAGCCCTGACTTGCCTTCATACACACTAGTTGGTGGTGTCGTAACCGCGGCTTCGTAGGGAACTTTTGAACCACTACCTACGTCATCAGTAGGTCCGTCGCCATTAACAGGAAGGTTTATAGGATCCGTGGGCGCCGATCCCGAACGGCTACGGGTCCCCACGGTAGACTCAGGGAACCGAGATGTCGTCGGTGTCGGCCCGGTACTTGCCGCCTCCTGGATGCCTAACTGGCTTAGGCTCAAGTCCCCCATGCCGAGTGTCTTGACAGCGGGCTCCTTATTTGCCATGTCAGAATCCTTAGACTGCTCCGCGGACGGCTCGACTTCGACCCTATCGTCGTCTGCCGGCTGCGTCTCTCTAGGAATATTGACCTTAGCCTTGTTTCCGCCGGATCCAGCGTTAGCAGGAGTAATAGTACTGCTCAGGGTGTTTGCAGCGTTTTGGGCAACCGATAAAACACTAGAGAAGAAGCCACTACCTGGGGTTGGCGGTACTGCGTTTTCCGGTGTTGGTGAGAGCGGGGCGGATATAATATTCGACAATTTGCTTGGACCGATGCTTGTCCCAGAACCTGATCTCGCTCGCCTGTGAGATATCATACGACCCGAAGGCGACACTACCACATTCGGGTTTGGTAGCGAGGTAACCGAAGTACTCCTCTCCCTAGGGTGATGTGAATCAGTCGGCGTCGGCGGAGTATTGACGATGACAGGAGCGGTCGGTTCGGAGGACGGGGGGGTACTCGGACGGGCAGAGGTATCAATGGAAGGCGGCCTCTTCTGCTGAGGTGATTGCTCGTGAGATGCTAGCCGGTCATCAGCGTCGGGTGGGGATATCACAATCGAGCTTTGCTGAGAGGTCGGCGCGGTCGTCGACCTCTGGAGAAGTTCGCTTGCCGGCTCGTGGTCGACAACGTCGGTCTGGCTACCCAGGCTGGGCACGGTACTAGTATTCTTCTTTCCCCTAAAAGCGTCTCTAAACCTGCCAGCGGGGGATTTGGATCGGCGCGAAGACGGATCGTTGGGTGTCTGCAGACCGGTGGAGCTGTTCGATGGCTGACGCTGACGAGCCGGCTCGTTGGAATAACCACCAGCAGCCAAATTGGTCGTAGACCGCGAAAGGTTCTCGAGGACGTCGTGGTCTATATTATGGGCGTCGGACAGGTGCTCGGCTTGAATAATAGGCGAAGACTGCGTCAAGTAGCCGATCTGGGAGGGATGCGTCGAGGGGAAGGTAGGTCGGATGGAAGATGGGTTGGACCTAGCAGAGCAGTTCGCATCAGATACAAGTGCTACGACAGAATTGTGCCAGCTCCAGCTCGACGCAGGAATTACTACAGCTATGCGAAAAAAGAGTAGTGAAGTGGGATTCGACAAGAAAATAAAAAGAAGTAAAGATAGAAAATAACATAGGAAAAGGGAGGTCTGGATAGGGGATGAGGCAGATTGAGGGGAGAAAAGCTAGTCAGAGCTCGAGGCAGCCAGAAGTAGGGGATACGAAAAGATGGATCCTGTCATAGATCCTGTCCATGGGCCATGGTCGGCCTGTTCTCAGGTGCCAAGAATTGTGGTCGCGATCGGCCAGACACCCGGGCACAAGGTGTATAAATGAATCTGATATACCTTGGGGATATTATCTGCTTATTTGACCAGAGACAACTAGACTCTGCACTTGGCCATGTGCTGTGCTGTGCTGAAGACGACGGACGGGCAGATGTTGAGTGAACAAGCAAGTGGAGAGAAGAAGAATGGCAAGCTACCCGAGGTATCGTTGTATGTAATTTGCACTGAACGTTGTTCTGGTCCGAGAGGAGATAGAGCTTGTGATGCTCGATAATGGTGTGGCAAGATAGAAAGAGAAGGAAGGATAATAATAATGGAGGAAAGGAAGGGAATGGAAACAACTTACGAGTCGTGGTCAGAATCGTATGCGTATGCATCGGGATTGGATCTGTCGTCGGTCTCGTCCCGGGGCTCGTCACGGTGGTGCTCGTCATTGGATTGCGTGGTCGAGATGGAGCCGTTTCTTAGCGGATCGCGAGAGTGTGGGCTGCGGCCGCGAGCATGTTCCTCGCTGCTGGTTGTCGATCTGAAACTCTCTTTTGAGGGCTGCTTCCTCCACCGCCGAGGTGCAGCCAGCTTCTTGGGCATGAACATCGACGCGACCTTCTTACCGTTGCCGCTATGGTTGCTGCTAGAACTAGCGGCATCCATCACGAACGGACATGTGGCATGTATGCTACTTCTTATATGGACCACCACGACAAGACCAGAGGGATTATAAAACCGAGGTTCGCTTTTGATAGCTCTTTAGATCTTCGAAACACCGCGACAAGTTACCAGTGAGCGAGCACGAGAACAAA